GCTGCAGCTCACTGGGCCTGTGGTAGCAGGAGCGACCCACGGTCCCCCAGAACCAATCTCCATCACCTAACCCGTGGCTCTCAAACTTGAGCAGGCCTCAGAATCCCCCTGGGACTCGGGAAACTCAGAGCTTACAAGCCAGTAGGTCTGGGTGGGGCATAATTTGCCTTTCTATGTTCCCAGGTGGTGCTCAAGAGCTGTTCTGCACATCCTCACTGGGGTCCCAGAGGAGTGATTTCAAACCCAGCTGTTTATCCCCTGGGAAGACTCTTCTCCCAGCTGAGCCTCCACTCCCTCACCCATCGGCGGGCGTGTTGGGACTGCCTCATGGGGTGCACACGGCAGCAGCCTCATCAAGATTCTAGTGCCCGGGAAATGCTCCCTCCTCTGCATCAGCTCCCAGTAGCACCAGAAATTGGTACTGAGACTTACAGGCTACTAAGTAGGAAGGTGGAGCTGTGACAATACCCAACTTTACAGTATAGATTAAGGGTTTTCTGTGTGCATTGTGCCAATTCCTGAATGCATGGGTGCTCTCTATCCCCCCAGGGCTGGGGATTGAAGCCAGAGCCTTATGCATGCTAGGCAAGAACTCAACCACTGAGCTACCGTACCCCCCAGCCCAAGAAAGCTTTATCTGAAAAATGCAAACAAAAACAAACACGGCTTGGATGCTTTATCTTTTCATTCATGCAGATGAGATACACAGTTACAGTAGGCCTGGTTCCTGAGGGCAACAGAGAAGACAAGGGCCAGAGAAGACAGGTGCTCATCGTATTTTAAGAAAGAAGATGATGAGGATTAAGGTGGGAGAGGAGCAATCAGAACCCCAAGAAACAAACTAGAGTCTTTTCAGGCCAGGGGTTTCCTTGCAGAAGCAGCCTTTGTCTGGCACAATGGGTTAGCATTTGGCTCATGGAGATGACAAGGTAGAGGACAGAAGGAACAGCAAAAATACAAACAAGAGAAGGAGCTTTGAGAAACTGAACACACTAGGCACGGTGGCACATGCCTGTGGTCTCAGCTATTTAGGAGGAGAGCAAGTATGAGGCCAGCCTGGGCAATTTAGCAAGACCATTTCTTTCTTTTTTTTTTTTTTTTTTTTTTTTTT